ATGGCAGCCATCTTGGATTTTGAACCGACCCAAAGATAACAACACTTGGTCAGGACCATCTCTGGATCATTTCACGCAAGTTTCAGCTCAATCCCACTGGTGGAACTTGAGAAGAAGTTTGGCTGCAATGTTGAAGTTTTGACGGGGCTGAAAAATAACAACACTTTGTTGGCTTCCTTTCCTAAACATCCCCACCAATGTTTAGCTCAATGGGCAAGTTTCAGCTCAATCCCATTGGTGGAACTTGAAAAGAAGTTTAAAATGTTGAAAGTTTACGGACGGGGCACGGTGGACGACGACGGACTAAGCACGATGACTATAGGTCATCCTGACCAAAAGGTGTGAAGAAATAATGGCAGAAAACAAGATTTTTTTGCAAAATGGTGTATTTTGATGTGGTTTGGTCAACACGAACAGTGATAAAGTCCCTTTATATACAATGATTGAAAACAACACAATGAGAAGAATCCTAGGTTCTGTGTCCCACTCAGCTCGTCTCCATAGATTGTGCTGTTCCTGTGGAGGTAAAACAAACTAATATTACCATAGTTTACCAATGATCAGGGAACTAGTCTTTTGAAAGGAACCAAATAGGTAATGGACGTATAATCTAATTAATACAGTTTATACAAACTACTCTTCTAGATTCTGCAGATTACTTGCATATGGTTTTTCGTACCTGTTTATTTTTCTATAAAACGACCCATCTATAAAGCCCAAAGCTTGTTTACCTTTCCTGATGATCCCCTACATGGATAGGTATAAGAATATTGTCACTTGCCTGACATCTCGTTGAACATGAACTCCTCCTGGTATTCCTTTAGGAACTGTGTGGATCGTGACTCGTCGAGGAATAAGGAGTACACTCGTTTTATATCATCCACATCCACTTCTGATCCCTGTCAACAAAATGTAAGCAGGGGATTATGATGAAACTTCAGGTACACTCATTCTCAAAATTGTTCATTCTGTACAGTCAATAGGTGGCTAAGGTGGCAGCACCCAAAATGGATCACCAAACCATCATTTTCTTCATTCATCGAAACTTCATGATAGGAATTAAATTAGTTTAAAAAGAAGAATATCATTAGGTGTTCTAACCAATGAAATAAACAGCCAGGGCTCATGTGAGATATTTATACAACACTCCGACATCACCAATTAGTGTTTCAGATTTTTTTTGCAATATCAGTAACAAAAACGGATCAGGCTCTTTAAATGAACATTTCTTTATCAGCATTTTAACATTTTATGATGATCTTTGGAATTTGAATTATGAATACATGTATTTCTTTATTCTGAATGTTTTCCTGCAGTCAGAAACAAAATACATTGTCCTTGCACAGGCTATTTTTTAACAACGTAAACAAAAAACTAGTTTTGGATTTGAAATAAATCTTCTGATGATATTTGAGCTTAAAAGTTAATCATCTTTAGACTTAAAATGATGCAAAACTATGTATTATAATGATAAATTATTGTAATAACTGAATGGTTGACACATTTATTGATTTATTACTATTTTTGCAAAGAGTAATCTGATTTGGGTCCTGCCTCCTTAATCTAGGCTATTTGTGGTTGGTGTTACACCTCACACCACTAGTATGTAGTAGGCTGTGTATTCTTACCTTCCTCTTACGACACACTAGGCTGGCAACTGTGATGAGCTGGATGGCGTATCTAAGGGATGTTTCCATTCCAATCTTTGTCAATACTGTCAATGCATCATCCGTCATTTCTACATCTTCTTCTTCACATCTATTGATATTGAAAACATACAATTTGATTATATAACTTACAGTGTTAGGGCTTTGCCTATTGTCATGTTTTACTACAGTAAAACTGTTCATGATTGTTGACTGTTCATGGTTGTTTGCCTATTGTCATGTTTTACTACAGTAAAACTGTTCGTGCTTGTTTGCCTATTGTCATGTTTTACTACAGTAATACTGTTCGTGGTTGTTTGCCTATTGTCATGTTTTACTACAGTAATACTGTTCGTGGTTGTTTGCCTATTGTCATGTTTTACTATAGTAATACTGTTCGTGGTTGTTTGCCTATTGTCGTGTTTTACTACAGTAAAACTGTTCGTGCTTGTTTGCCTATTGTCATGTTTTACTACAGTAATACTGTTCGTGGTTGTTTGCCTATTGTCATGTTTTACTACAGTAATACTGTTCGTGGTTGTTTGCCTATTGTCGTGTTTTACTACAGTAAAACTGTTCGTGGTTGTTTGCCTATTGTCATGTTTTACTACAGTAAAACTGTTCACGGTTGGCAACTACATTGAACTGTAATCAGTTGGGCTGTACAAATATTCACTTATTCAAATATTTGCAGTTCCATTGTAAATGTGAACACAAGAGACAGTTGTGAGGGTGTTTACCTGATTTTGAGGATCTGTTTGATCTCCTTCTCATCATAGGGAGTGGTGGCGATGATGAGCAGTCTGTCCAACAAATCTATTGGAATACCATGGGGGCTCTGGTAATTAGTACCTCTGATTCTGCAATAAGAAATAAGTGAAAACAATTATTGTGAAGCTCACCAATGGCAGCCATAACAAATAACTTATATTTTAGTTTCAGAGAGTTATTTCACTTTTAAAACAAGTTGAAACTGCATTCAAGAAAAATTGAACTGTAAGCCATTGGCTAATTAATACCCCACTCCTATATAGACTAGATCTGTAAGCCAAAGGCTAACTAGGACAAAGTATTGTAAAGCAATTTCATAGTCCCCTACCAGTAATGATTTCTTTAATTTACTGAGCTGTACACCTATTATCTAGTATATAGGTCACAGTGACATACTTTCTCCCCGTGCCAAAACATACTTGCAATCAAAATCTAGTTAGTCCAGGTGAACTAGCCCCAGGAGATGCCCCAAAAACACTTTTTAGAGACTGTGGTCAAGGTATAGCAACAGGTCACTGTGACCTACTTTTTGTATTTGACATTCCACTAAGATATCCCCCACAAGCCACCATATCTCAAAATTAGAAATATGAGGGGGGAAAAGGTTTCATTCCTCCCAAAATGTGTTCCTAAATGGAGATTGAATAAATGAAATAATAAATAGGAAGTACAAATGATGACATTAAGTGTTAATGTTTAGTTAACTGGCCAAATAGTTTTACAAAAACCTTTCATATGAATTGAGGGATTTTATTGATTTACCTCTATTTCTCCTATTGGGCCCAATCCATCTGCCCCCTTGGGGACTATACACCCTGTTTATATAAAATTAAGTCCCACTTAACAAATGATTTTCTAGACCAAATTTGGGTAAATTTCTTTCATTCAAATGAAAGGAAGCATTTTAAATGTTAAGCTCTATTACCTTGTGATGCCCCTGTTAGTGGCCACAGTAATATACATGGTTATGTTGTTTACCTTGTGATGTCCCTGTTAGTGGCCACAGTAATATACATGGTAATGTTGTTTACCTTGTGATGCCCCTGTTAGTGGCCTCAGTTGTGATGCCCCAGTTAGTGGCCACAGTAATATACATGGTTATGTTTTTTACCTTGTGATGCCCCTGTTAGTGGCCACAGTAATTTACATGGTAATGTTGTTTACCTTGTGATGCTCCTGTTGGTGGCCACAGTAATATACATGGTAATGTTGTTTACCTTGTGATGCCCCTGTTGGTGGCCACAGTAATATACATGGTAATGTTGTTTACCTTGTGATGCCCCTGTTAGTGGCCTCAGTTGTGATGCCCCAGTTAGTGGCCACAGTAATATACATGGTTATGTTTTTTACCTTGTGATGCCTCTGTTAGTGGCCACAGTAAAATACATGGTTATGTTGTTTACCTTCTGATGCCCCTGTTAGTGGCCACAGTTGTGATGCCCCAGTTAGTGGCCACAGTAATATACATGGTTATGTTGTTTACCTTGTTATGCCCCTGTTAGTGGCCACAGTAATTTACATGATAATGTTGTTTACCTTGTGATGCCCCTGTTAGTAGCCACAGTGATATACATGGTAATTTTGTTTACCTTGTGATTCCTTTGTTACTGGCCACAGTAATATACATGGTTATGTTGTTTTCCTTCTGATGCCCCTGTTAGTGGCCACAGTTTTGATGCCCCTGTTAGTGGCCACAGTTGTGATGCCCCTGTTAGTGGCCACAGTAATATACATGGTAATGCTGTTTACCCTGTGATGCCCCTGTTAGTGGCCACAGTAATATACATAGTAATGCTGTTTACCTTGTGATGCCCCTGTTAGTGGCCACAGTAATATACATGGTAATGCTGTTTACCCTGTGATGCCCCTGTTAGTGGCCACAGTAATATACATGGTAATGTTGTTTACCTTGTGATGCCCCTGTTGGTTGCCACAGTAATATACATGGTTATGTTGTTTACCCTGTGATGCCCCTGTTAGTGACCACAGTAATATACATGGTAATGTTGTTTACCTTGTGATGCCCCTGTTGGTGGCCACAGTAATATACATGGTAATGTAGTTTACCTTGTGATGCCCCTGTTAGTGGCCACAGTAATATACACGGTAATGTTGTTTACCTTTTGATGACCCTGTTAGTGGCCACAGTAATATACATGGTAATGTTGTTTACCTTTTGATGCACCTGTTAGTGGCCACAGTAATATACATGGTAATGTTGTTTACCTTGTGATGCCCCTGTTGGTTGCCATGATAAGGATGGGAGCCATGTCGTCTTCCAGTGCTCTGTTCAGGAAAGAGAAACACTCGATATCCAACATGTGTACCTCGTCAACGAACAGCACCTGGAATATAGTTAAGAAAATGTCAAATAGATATAGGAGGACCCTTTGGATAGATAAATCTTGTACTTAATATGCGTTGAAAAAGTTTATTTTTCATTTCATAGGTCCTGATGCAGGTGTCTATTACAGTAATTTTCTTTCACGCTGTTGCTCTTTATAATTTTTCATATCTTGACATAAAATTTCCTTTCAATTTACTTTCCTAACTACTGTGGTATAAAGGTCTTAGACCATGTGTACCATCTTTGATTACTTACCCCTGGAACAATCTCAGCCTTGCCTTCCTCCCGCCACTCTGCCACTTTACTGTTGATCTGTTCCCGAACCTCACTTTTGATTTCTCCAGTGTCACCTGAGTAACAAATCAAAAATCCATTTCACCAACATTTCACTTAAAGCAAAAACATATTATATGGACCGTATATTCCCCAACAATCAACAAGAGACCTAGAGGTCCGATCCTGTATTGCTCACCTGGAAATTAAAGTGATCATGGCAAAATATTCTTATTCAAATTAGTATTGCCAATCAGATCCCAAGGAAAGTGTCAGACCTCTGGGCCAACCCTGATGGCATATGTGTATCCAAAAGGTCATGCTCAAACATAGTGATGGTTTCAACCATCTAAAGGTAATGACCCAGGGACAAAGTCTCAAAGGGTGGGACTGAACCCCAGGGCCATCCTGGTAGCTTACGTTTATTCATCTCTTTATCCTCAGAAATTGTATGTATGGCAATAGGGTGTTGCCAGGCCCCAGGACAATCCTGATAGCGTTAAGTGTATTCAGTTCTTTATATCCAGCAGTTGTATATATGGTTATAGGGTTGTAATCTCAACCATTTCCTATTTTCTTTTGCCCCACACTCAGCTGCCCTTCAGATTTATGATTTTAACCATTAAGAATCTCAACTCCTAGGGTATGCTACACATAAAATATCAATGCTGAGAAGGTTTTTGTGCACAGTACTCATAACTGCCTTTGTAAATTTCAAATAGTTCAAATTGGACCCCTGGGCTCATAGATACAGCCACGCCCAGGGATCCAATTTGAACTATTTGAAATTTACACCCATACAGTAAGCCAAGTATGAAAAGCTGTGACATTTCTCAGTCTCAAGAAGATTTTTTCATCTCAGTATATATCATAACCTATGCTGAACTTGACCCCTGGGCAGGGTCATATTTATGAGTCCACCATTCTAGTTTTAAAACTTTAAAATCATACACCCCTCAGATATGCTATGAATAAAATATCAAAGCTGTGACATGTTTAATGAAGAGGAGTTGGGTAGCTCAGTACTCATTGCAGCTGACGTTAAACTTTGACCCCTAGGCATGCCATATTTATTTAACCATGAGCTCAATCTTAATACTTTAAAATCCAGACCAAGAAGGTATGCTAAAACCGAAATTTCAAAGCTGTGACATTTCTAAGTCTGAAGAAGAAGATTGTTAAAGATTTATCCAAAATTTCCCCATTTGAATCCCATACCTCTGCCCCGAAGGATCCTTGCAATTCTTATTGAACAATATTATACAACTCCAAACCCACAAAGATGTTCCAGATGGAATGTGGTCCAAACCCTTTCAGGCCTTATAAGTTGTTTAAATGAAAATGTAAAGAGGAATCCTTGTGTACTACTGTTGGTGACATTTTACCTGAGAACAGTGCTAGGAATCTTTGTGTCCTACTGTCGATGACATTTTACCTGAGAACAGTGCTAAGAAACCTTGTGTACTACTGTTGATGACATTTTACCTGAGAACAGTGCTAAGAAACCTTATGTCCTACTGTTGGTGGCATTTTACCTGAGAACAGTGCTAGGAATCCTTATGTCCTACTGTTGGTGACATTTTACCTGAGAACAGTGATAGGAATCCTTGCATTCTACTGTTGATGACATTTTACCTGTGAACAGTGCTAGGAATCCTTGCGTCTTACTGTTGTTGACATTTTACCTGAGAACAGTACTAGGAATCCTTGCATCCTACTGTTGATGACACTTTACCTGAGAACAGTGCTAGGAATCTTTGTGTCCTACTGTCGATGACATTTTACCTGAGAACAGTGCTAGGAATCCTTGGGTCCTACTGTTGTTGACATTTTACCTGAGAACAGTGCTAGGAATCCTTATGTCCTACTGTTGGTGACATTTTACCTGAGAACAGTGATAGGAATCCTTGCATTCTACTGTTGATGACATTTTACCTGAGAACAGTACTAGGAATCCTTATGTCCTACTGTTGGTGACATTTTACCTGAGAACAGTGATAGGAATCCTTGCATTCTACTGTTGATGACATTTTACCTGAGAACAGTACTAGGAATCCTTATGTCCTACTGTTGGTGACATTTTACCTGAGAACAGTGATAGGAATCCTTGCATTCTACTGTTGATGACATTTTACCTGAGAACAGTACTAGGAATCCTTATGTCCTACTGTTGGTGACATTTTACCTGAGAACAGTGCTAGGAATCCTTATGTCCTACTGTTGGTGACATTTTACCTGAGAACAGTGCTAGGAATCTTTGTGTCCTACTGTCGATGACATTTTACCTGAGAACAGTGCTAAGAAACCTTGTGTACTACTGTTGATGACATTTTACCTGAGAACAGTGCTAGTAATCTTTGTGTCCTACTGTTGATGACATTTTACCTTAGAACAGTGCTAGGAATCCTTATGTCCTACTGTTGATGACATTTTACCTTAGAACAGTGCAAAGAAACCTTGTGTCCTACTGTTGATGACATTTTACCTGAGAACAGTACTAGGAATCCTTATGTCCTACTGTTGGTGACATTTTACCTGAGAACAGTGCTAGTAATCCTTGGGTCCTACTGTTGTTGACATTTTACCTGAGAACAGTACTAGGAATCCTTATGTCCTACTGTTGGTGACATTTTACCTGAGAACAGTGCTAGAAATCCTTGTGTCCTACTGTTGATGACATCAATTTCATGTAATGTGACAGTATGGACAACTTCCTTCCTTTTCTGTAGCTCACCCTCTGGACATTGCACGAACTTTGTCTGAAATACATAAAATAACATCTTGTGTATTTGAATTATTTGACAGAGATTGACGCTTGGTTTGATACTTTTACTTTAGCATCAACATCACTAGCTGAGCTGTGAAACGAACTTTAGCAACATCTGTAGCTAAGCTGTGCAACCAACTATAGCAACAACACTAGCTGAGCTGTGAAACCAACTATAGCAACATCTGTAGCTAAGCTGTGAAACCAACTATAGCAACATCACTAGCTAAGCTGTGAAACCAACTATAGCAACATCACTAGCTGAGCTGTGAAACCAACTATAGCAACATCTGTAGCTAAGCTGTGAATCCAATTATAGCAACATCGCCATACAGTCAACTGTCAAAATGATACCTGCTCAGTGTCAGGACCAGGAAATTCAGCAAACAGTTAGTTCATCAGGTAGGTCCTAACACATCAGACAAATAGACTGTTGACTTATAAGACAGGTGTGAAATGTTCTTACTGCATCCATCATTGCGAAGTAACAAGCAAATCCATCGGTATTACTGACATCATTTACTGTCCAGAAACACTGGTTTACCTACTTATCATTTACTGTTCAAGTTGTACACAGGTTTAAATCATCAGATACACTGGTTTACCTACTTATCATTTACTGTTCAAGTTGTACACAGGTTTAAATCATCAGATACATTGGTTTACCTACTTATCATTTACTGTTCAAGTTGTACA